TGAATTTAATTGCACTCATGCCACCTCTGAGCCTCATTGAATGTCTGAAAATGTACCTACAAGCCACTTTTGTGTTCTTCTGTGCCACCTCTGTAGTACAAATAAATTTTTCATTAATACTAATTTAACGATTGGTAACTTATTATATAGTTTTAAAAAGAAATTTTAAAAAGCTTATAAACATAAATTTTTGAATTTTACAGATGAAAATGATGCCATTGCAAAGGTAAAAAGAAAATGCCCCTGTAAATCACTTCACCTCATATTAGGAAGGCTAATTTTTTATCAGAATTTTTGATTGTTGATCAGAAGGTGCTCCTTAATTTTTTTAATTAGGAGGACAAGCGCTCTTGATTACAAGAAGAAAAACACTGCTCTTAAACTGGGTGTGGCTGAGGAATGGGGTTTGGCCGAGGAAAAATTTTCAGTCAAAATAATTTTTTTTTGCTTTAACCCGACTACTCTACTACAACAAATAGTACAACTTTTGTTTAAAAGAATAACCACACAATACGCTATTTCTTCCATGTTTTAATTTTAATGGTAAACCCTTTGTTTAAAATAAAGAGTTTACTGTGGGAGTACTACACTCAACCAACACCAGGGAAGGCAGTTTTTGTCAGAGCCCTTGTTATTCTTAATTTTGACATTAATTTTCATTTTTACACCAGACATATATATCGGTTCAAAATATCGGTTATCGGTCTACTTGATCTGTAATAATCGGTATCGGCATCGGCCTTGAAAAACACATATCGGTCGACCCCTACTACAAAGTGCTCAAAAAGATACTGAAGTACAATAACTAATTACATTTACTCCAATATTTTACACTCAGGGTTGAGGAGTAACAGAATACATGTAACAGTGTTATGTAACCAGGATACAGAAAACTAGTAACTAATTGTAGTTACGTCAAAAACAAGGTAATCACGTTACATTTGTAAAAAAAAAAAAAATGGGAATACTATATTACAAAGGTTTAATTTAAGGAATAATTGAAGATGGGCCATTGAATTATATTATAAAATAATGATCCGAGGTGGTGATGCGGCCACAACGGAAAGCGTAAGACTAATGCAGTTATGAGAGAGCGAGATTAAGCATGTGTGAATTACCTGAGTCTGTGCATCAGCAGCGTCCCTACTAATAGTGAAACCAGTGTTTCCCACAGACTTACACTCTATGTGTGGCGGCACTTTCCCTGGGGGAAATATATATGTATATAATGTATGTAAATATAAAACAGCAGACGGGCTTATTGAACGTGCAAATTTATTCTCTGCCAGCAGGAGGCGCTTTTGGAGCGGCAGAAATAGCGGTTTCCCTGGTAACGGCTGTAATCAAAGCAGCGCTGCGCACATAAACGCTGCTTTATCAGGCAATATAGGAAAGATTAAATGAAAATGACATCAAAACTTTTCTGAAGACAATCGGTTCCCTTCAAAAAAGATACATTTATATAAAAACACCCGTGCCGCGTTTTGATTTTGGAACGTGCAGATAAGGCTGTGACGGTCGCCGTGACAACCGCATCACCACCGCAGTTTTCTACTGCCACCGGGGTAGTGCACGTGACGTCACGCACTCTATAACAAGCATAATACGAAGTTTTGTATACAAGTGTAATAACAGTAATAACAGTAGCGGAACAGTGAACCGCGTCTACACCGGACGCGACACCACCGCGTCGCAACAGGTTGAGTCTGTCTAGTGTCTACACAGGACATTTGAACTCTTGTGTCAGTACCTCATAAATAGAACGAGGCAGTTTACTGTCGGGGATTTGTCATGTCGTGCCGCATCCAGTGTAGCATCACTGATTATAATGAGTTTTATAGTATTTTGTCGCGCCGCGTCCTGTAGACAGGCTGTATTTAACTTTCTTATTTAGGTTACTTTCTTGTTTAACTGTATTATTTCTTTGATATTTATTTTAGTGTTTTGCAGGCTGCAGATTCACTGACTGAAGTGCTAAAATAAACATGAGCTGACGAGTTAAATCGGGTGTGTTATGGCGCTCTTCCACTGCATGGTACGGCACGGTACGGTTCACTTTTGGGGTTTTTTCCACTGGGTACAGTACCTGGTACTTTTTTTATGGCGCTTTTCCACTGCATGGTACGGCACGGTACGGCTCGGTACGGTTCACTTTTGGGGGTTTTCCACTGGGTACAGTACCCGTGCAGAGCTCATGTTTATTCAACAAAGTCAAGCCTTTTTGGAAAATCTATTTGTGGCGGTCAGTGTTGATATTGTGGCGGGCCGCCACAAATAAATCAATGTATAGGAAACCCTGTGAAACTGTAAATTAATCTGCTTCAATAACAGCACCAATATTACCTCCTAAGTGAGAAATGTCAGCCTTTAACTTGCAAAAATATTTTACTGGTGAAATCGTCAGAGCAGTGCTGACAACACGTTTCTGTGCGCATGAATGTTTACGTGGAAAGAGAATGTGTGCTTTCCCTTCATAATAAAACATAATTTTGTGGCAAAAAGATGGAAATAATTTGTCATTTTAATCTTATTGTTTAATATATTTATTTGCTTGGTCATTGTCGTTGTGGGTTTTAGTTATTTTCCTGTTGTATAAGGACCTTTTGAAATAACTGAAATCATTTAGCGAAGTGACGACATGTACTAACACCATGTTGAAGTAGAATGTCTGATGAGATGACCACATGGAGCAAGTCCTCTTCCTTCGTTACAACAGAAAGTTTTGCCCAAAGCTAAAGGTTTTAACTGAATGAACAGTTTGAATGGACATTTAGTGTTTCATTAGATATGCCAAATGCTGCCAACAGACACCAATACTTCACAGGATTAAATTTTGCAGTAATTTTGAATCGTACAGTATTTTTAGCATTGCTTAATGTTATCAGTGCATCTGTTCTTATTATATTTGCTTGAGAAAAAAAAATGCAAATTTTCTATTCTGTATTTTTCTGTTGCAGAAACATTTCTGTTGTATTCTGGTTTTATATTAGCAGAGCATTTATTTACAGCATAGTTATTACAACCACAAGGCATTTTTTAAAAATATTTTATAATTGTGCTTCAAATTGTTTATATTTTACATCATATCCATAATAAATATATTTAGTATTTTTGATGATATTGTTATACTTGACTTCATTTAAATATGTGACCTTGAAGTAATCCAAAAGTAATCAGATTACATTAATATTGTGGTGCTTGGATTACGTTACTGAATTATTTTTTCATTAAGTAATATGTAACTGTAACGGAATATATTTTTAAAGTAACCCTCCCAAGCCTGTTTACAATACGGAGCATGAATTTATAGTTGACAACAGAAGACCTTTTCAGTAGTGTCTGTCAAGCAGTAGTGTTAGACTATTTTTTTTACCACAGAGAGGCGCTACTACAACAGAATATTGCCAACAAATTTGGTATCTGTTATCTAAGTTAATTTCATAGGTTTTATTAAAAAGAGACCCTGTAAATTGTCATTTTACATTTCAGACTTTATAAGAGCAGCATAACCTGCTGAATTATAATGACGGATTTAATTGCCTGTATTGACTGCTATATGGAGTGCTTCAATACAGCTTCATAACCAGTGTTGGGAGTAACGCATTACAAAAGTAATAATATTACAGTAGTATATTACTTTTTGCTGTAACGCAGTAATATAACGCATTACTAATCAAATTTGGGTAATATTATTACTCGTTACAATCTCAGTAACGCAAGTTACCAGGTGGCATGAAAAGAGTTCCTCTGATCCTGCCTTCGGTTACAGGAATTCTCCGGACACCATCGGTCAAGCAGTGTCTTTCGTTTGTCACTTTGGCGATGACTCTATTGTCACGGACAACCTCAATGTCAACGAGAGCAGGACGCGTCACGTCTGTTAGTGCAAACTTGCAGCTTACGACCTCTGCTTTCAGTGCCCAGAATAAGCCCATTGGTTCAACTCCCGTAAAGCTGCCACCAAGAGAAGGGTCGCGGTTGAGGTCGACCTGACCATTATCGTCTGCTTGGTAGGTGGCCCAAGCCTGGAAGACACGTCCGCTATCATCGGTGATTTTAGAGCGCAGATCCACGCGTTGTTGATGATTTAAGCCACTCACGGTCACGTGCACTGGGTCTTCAAAAGAGCACTTATAACTGGGCAAAAGCCTGATACTGACTCCTGAAGAGTAGTGCATTTTGGCAAGAGTGTTTCTAGCAAAAGGGGTAAACGCATACTTCAGCATTGAAAACATGTCGTCTGTGTGACTTCTGCAGCATAGTACGTTGATACTGCCTTCTAGTGTTCGGAGTATTACAGTCCAAAACCCGGAAGAGAATTTCATGAAATAAATATCATAAACTTGCCCTTTTTTTTGTTTATATCGCTTTTAATCCTCCTTTTCCTCTTATGTTTTATTTAGTTTCATTTGTTTTGTTGTTCTTTCTTACAGTCTGTATATAGTCTTAAGCATAAATAAACAATTTCCCCCTTATAAAAACACTGCAAAAAACAACTAGAAATGATCATAGAAAAGACCATAAGGGATAGTTAAAGACACAAAAAGGCAAATAAGGTACTTAAATAATTCAAATTAATATTTTGCAACCTTCACAAAAAGGCTTGTCTCCAGTGATGTCATTGTACTTTTTGGCTTCACTCAGTAAGATATAAGTCGCTTTTCTTTGAATAAAAATAGGGTTAATTAAAATATTTTATATATTATATATATTAATATATAATATATATATTTCTTATGATCATTTGTGAAGGCAAAATTACATTTCCCTTCAGCAATAAAGGTTCTCATGAAAAGTATTGAAATACTCATGAAAAGTATTGAAAAATCGAGTCAGAAGAGACCAAATGTATCCGTGTAAATGACAAAATTACTAAGTAACAATTCGTTTATATTGCAATATGCTAGTTTAAACCAGAATCTGTGTCGGCTCGCATCACCCTCTTCCAAGTTACAGCTGATTTCTCATGAACCAGCAGACCTCGTAAGCCCCGCCTCTCTCGCGTACAGGTCGCCATGGTCGTCATGGAGACGGTGTGAGAGCGAGGCCGCTGGTGGAGCTCGAAGCTCTTTCCTACAGTAGGAAGGTACTCCGATCTGGCACCGCTTGCTGCTCTCAACCTTCTCCGTAGACGGATGATCAGATCGAAAAGGTCCGTCAGAATCTCCGTATACATTCGATAACAACATAAACCGCGTATACAGTAACCCTAGGATTTCCATCCATTCGACGCAGCTCCATGGTGACCCGATACTGATTTTTAAAGAGGAGGGCATTCACTGGTAAGATCTCTTTTTTTTGCGCTGTGAAGGTTAGTTAGCTGAGCTAACACGGTTAGCCAAACGGAGTCTTCGGGATCTGAATCACTGGTTAGCGCAAAAGCTAACAAATATTGATAGCCAAGTGATTCAGTCTGTGTACTTAAATACAGAATTAGTAGTTCGGTGAGTTACTGGTTGTTAAATGACTTTCATATTCACACTATTCCAGCTATAAAGCTCGCTAGTGAATCCTAATCCAATCAAAAGCACTATTAATTCCAGTCATAGCGAAAGGTCTTTTTAATCAATGACGATGACGATTGTTTGTTGTATATGTTAATCAAATCGTCCTTACATTATTATCTGGAGAGTTTCGTGTGGAAATGTGATTGTTAATTAGCCTGTCATAACGCGATTATAAAAGTCGGCAGTCCGGCGATGCGGACAAAGCCTGTTGTTAGCTTCCTATTACCCATAGGCTGCCATTTTACTTTACTAGACTGGTAAATATACATTGTATGTGTATTATTAAACGAATGTTTTTGTTTTAGATGTATTGAAGAGTATAAATGTTGTCAGAATGTTACAGTATTATTTCAGTCAGCAACGGACCTCAAATATCGTTGTAATTAGTATTTTGTACTTGCTTCAACCGGTTTCTTACGTGTACATTTCCAGAGAGTTTCAGTCAATATATAATTCTAATATACATCCCGTTTTATTTAAACCCGTTTCAAAAACGACATGCAACGGGCAAACATTGGGCTCCTGCAAGCACAAAGCTCTGTGCTATAAACACCGTGTTCACGTAGCAAGAGGACTTTTAAAAACTTGCGACCAGAAAGTTAGAAACAACCTCAAAGTTGATCATTTTAGGAAGCTTAACCGCTATTATTATTGATGCATCTTTCTTTTTGTTTGTTTTCATAGGTTAATATTGTTCCGTTCACAGTAGTTTGCGAGCAGGACACACTCTGTTCTCTTTGTTGTACTCGTTCTGCTCTCGGAACAGTTGCACGTGTCGGCGCGTGTGACTTTAAGTCCGGACATACTGAGGCTTATTTTAGTTTTACGTAGAATAACTACATTATCAAGTCCCTCAGCACACCCCACTTACAAATATCTGGCCTCTTTTTTTTTAATAAATAAAAATGTGCTGCTCGTTTTTGCAGTGAGGCAATATAATTACTTGTCGTGAAAACAAGATTAGTGTCATCTGTCACCAGTGTCACCAGTAATTGCTTTATAATTTGCTGGTATCTCTAATTTGGAGCCAGCATGCATTGGTTGTTGCCTTGTTTTTGTACTACTTGTAACCCAACACCCCATATTCACTGTCTTTTTCCCAATAGCATATCTTTACAGGAGTTTGCTTGACTTAAATGTGAAGCTTCATGTTGAAACTTGATCAGGAGATTGTTTCAATGTGATATCAACTTCCCTTCACAAACACTTGTTGGTTCCCTATGGATGGCCACTTCTTCCTCGTTGCCTTCTGTGTGCAAAGGTGTAGATAAAAGAACTGTATGAGCCATAATATGCTTAAAAGGCTTTCTTTACTGTCATGCAGCCTGGACTCGTTGTGCCAGATTGAACCTCTGTATTTCCAGCTATGTATAAGACATACATAGCTGGAAATACAGAGGTTCAATCTGGCACAACGAGTCCAGGCTGCATGACAGTAAAGAAAGCCTTTCTTTCTGCTTTTTTGCTCTTCCATCTCTTACTAAACTCCCAACAGCTGGAAGGGCTTTGCATTTGCATATTTCTCACTCAAACCCTTTTACGTTTGAACCTGAAGGCAGCTCTGGTATGATAAAGCAGGAACCGCAGTGCCACGTCTCTTTTGGCATCTGGCCTGTTTTGTCATTTTACGTCAAAGAAATGTGACTAGTGTGATAATATTATGGCTTTCTAATATGGTAAAAAATACGGCTTTTTTTTTTTTTTTTTACCAAAAAATGGTAAAGAACTGCTTTTAAATACAAATCAGAACTCTTAAAGGGATAGTTCACCCAAAAATAAAACTTATCATCAGGTACTCACCCTCATGTTGTTCAAAACCAATAAGATGTTGTTCAAAACGCATATGAAGATATTGCTGTCTCTCCACTGAAAGTCCATTCCACCGAAACTTTGATGTTTCAGAAAGTGATTGTAAAACAAATTCAAATGAATCAAGATGTTTAATCCAAATCCAACGTAAAATGTAGACTTGGATTAAACTGCTTGATTCATAGTAGGGGTGGAACGGTTCAAGTTACTCACGGTTCGGTTTGTGTCACGGTTTCGGTACGGTTCGGTATATACTATGTTTAGAGAGAAAAAGGACTATATTGTCAAATAAAAATAAAGAAAATAAGAACAAATAATCTAATTACATACAACAGAACAAATAAATACAACCAATACAAATAAAATAAACAGTGCTTTTCAGGTTTTTTAGGTAGGTCTAACAGTTTTTAGGTACAGAAATTGAATAAAGTAATCAAATGTAAAATAACATTGTATATTTGACTGTATAAATTAAAGATTAATCCTTATTAAAGTTGCAAAAGCTATTCAATCAAGAGCAGTGAGTAGTTTCCATGTCTTTTGTTGTTTGATTAACATTAAGAAAGTGCTGTCACTTTAAGACAATTCATGGATCCAGTACACTGATACTGTACGTTCAAGCGACCATGTCTGCTAGGAAACTCACCAAGACAGGCATTTTGACATAATTTTTGTGTGAATTTGTCCTTTCAAGCACGATTTGAAAACGAACTCAATATTTGCGCACGTTCTGAGACGCGGGTTTAGCGCTTCAGAAGAGCTCGCACACAAATCTTCTCACGGCACGTGTGCTGTTCAGGTCTCACATGCGTGCGTGCGCTATCAACACCCGGGTGATGACGGCATCAATGACTGGTCATATTCCAGCATACTGCACTCGCATTGAACAAAGAATGACAGCTTTGTCCAGGGTTTTTTTTTTTTTTTTTCCCTCATTGTTGTTGTTGTTATGTATTGGGAAGCCAGAATGCGTTTCCATCGACAGAAACATACATTAGCCGAACTGTTTTATGTGTTATTTTTAACAAACCATTTTACAGATGCGTTGTCATTTTTAAGGTGAACCGCGGTGCAAGTGGGTGGAGAACCGTACGGTTCGATTTTTTACCGAGAACCGTTCCACCCCTAATTCATAGGGATTTATTTATAATTTTTTATTAAAATATCTTCATCTGTGTTTTGAATATTAACTAAAGTCGTGTTGTTTTTGGAACAACATAAGGGTGAGTAAATGGTGACTATTTTCATTTTTGGGTGAACTAGACCTTTACATCCACATTGGAGTTGTTTGGTGCACTTTATAAAGGCTTGGTTCTTGAACAGCTTGTGGTGTGGTTATTTATCTCTATTTGAAAATATTTTCAAGCGGGTGTTGTTGAATATTTGTGTGACATGTCAGTCAGATGCGCTTACTCGGGACGCCATCTGTACAACACCTTAGTCACTTATACTGAATCCAGGCTGAATGGCAATTTTCTCATCATGTTGGCACTAGTCAGTTTGTTGCAGAATGTTCTTCTGTGCCAGTCTGTTTGGTACATGAGGCAGCAGGCGAGCTCTGCTCTGCCAGTGGGATGTGCGTCACACTCCTTGTGCTCCTTGGGCACCCTAGTGCTTCTCTCGAGTGAGGAGGGGAAAGGTGTGGCGGCAGTGGCAGATTGGCCTCATGTGGGAACGGTAGCTGCACCCTCAGCATCCTGTTTGTTTCTGGGACTCGTGCGCCCCATGTTCTTGAGCTTAATCTGCCTTCAGCACACACATACGTATCTTGTTTTGGAGGAATGTTGACAAATGGCTTGTGCTTACTTAGCAGCACCGTTGCACCTGCTCTCATTTGTGTAATGGTAACTAATAACTTGTTTTTTCTTGAGTACAAAGTAATGTGATTCTAACTCATTCTCCATTGTCGTATTGCTAATAGACTTTGTATGTAATGTAAACATCACCATACAACACATGGATACCCTGCAGCATCTGTTCTGTGTTTTGTTGATTATCACCATAAAGTGTAGGATGTATTGTGATATGAGCAATTCAGTTCCTCAAGGTTTCTCAGTTCTCTCGTCGTCCATGAGTTAGTTTCGAGAACAATGATGTTTTGAAACTTACTATTTGTTCCATTTGTCTTGAATTGAAAACACTGCTTATTAAACTGCTATATGCTCTGTTTTTTCACACATTAAAAACTATTGACTGGATAAAATTGTTGAATTTGTTGAATTGAATTTTGTGAAATTCATTGAAATACTAAAAAATTTAAAAGGAACTGAGACTCAAGACTCACACATAAATTCCCCAAAGTGTTCATCTTGTCAGAATCCACTGTGCATTAAACATATTTTGCTGGACTGTAATCCATCTACTCTTTTTGAGACTTAATAAAACTTGTTTTATTCTGTTGATACTTTAGAAAAGGTTTTTAACCAAGTAAAACCAAATTTAGTCTTAAAGGGGTCTTATTATGCTTTTTCACTTTTTAAACTTTAGTTAGTCTGTAATGTTGCTGTTTGAGCATAAAAAAGATCTGCAAAGTTACAAAGTTCAAAGTCCACTTCAAAAGGAGATATTTTATTTAACAGAAATCACTTTTCAAAAACTACAACGAACGACTCGTTTGTGAATAATAGGACCCCTTTAAGGTTTTTAGAAAAAAAATAGTTTTAATTTTAATTTTTAAATAGTAATTTGAAACTGGCATGGCTTTAAAAAGGAACTGAGAGTCCTACACTTTTGGAAGCTAAAAACATTACACAATTAGCCAAATGTGAGTTAAACTGCCTTTAGCCAGTAAATAATGCTCACTAGTTGATTGGTAACTGGAAACTCAGCATTACCTGGACTAAATCATGTTTTAAGAATGATACTCTGATCTTTGATAATGTGAGATATGTGTGAAAGTCACTTTTGTAGAGTGGCTTGGAAAAAATGCTAGGAATAAATGGCAAATGACTGAATCCCATTTTAATTTTTAATTAATTTTTTTATTTTTAAATATGCAACCATGTATGTTAAAGGTGACATATCATGAAAATCTGACTTTTCTAGGTTTTAAAGGGTTAGTTCAGTCAAAAATGAAAAGTAGGCTGCGTTTCACTCACCCTCAAGTCATCCTAGGTGTATATGACTTTCTTCTTTCAGACGAATCCAGTCGGAGTTATATTAAAAATTGTCTTTGATCTTTCAAGCTCTATCGTTGTACTCAGCGGGTGTTGCATTCCTTCGGTTCAAAAGACGTGAAATAAAAAGCACCCTTCCACAAAAAAAAGTGTCTCACACGGCTCCGGGGGGTGAACAAAGGCCTCCTGTAGCGAATCGATGCGTTTTTGTAAGAAAAATATCCATATTCAAAACGTAATAATCACTTGAATCTAGCTTGCGCTCACTGTTGTACATGGAAGCAGTTCCGGGGGAATTACGTATGAGGTCAGTTTTGCGCATGTGCGGCTCAGAAGTGACGCACACGGAGAGATCGAAACAAAACAACGGTCACTAATTAGAAGTACAAAACGAGGATTTGTAAAGAAGAATGTCAGAAGATTTCGATATAAGCCAAGAGGAGACTGATTTTCCTTTGCTAAAGTAAGGAAACTTTGCTTCCTTTGATCCTGTAAACAAACGTTGGTTTTCACGAGACGCACCGGCGCATGCACAACGCTGACCTCAGAGGTCATCCGCCCGGAACTGCTTCCAGTGTACAA